CCAGCCAGGGCTCATCCCTGCAACCGGAATCCGGCAGAGACACTTGGCTTCAGGCATTCCTGTCGCCGCCTTCCCTTCGCCTTCGAAGGCAAAGCCAATTCTTTTAAAAACGACGCCCAACTGCTGGTATGACAAAGACTCCCCTGCCCGAGAGGGCAGCCCAACCCCACGTGGGGAGGCAAATCTCCCAGGGCCGCAGCGCAGGATTGGCCCACCCCGAGAGAAGCGCCCAGCCGCCATCCCTGCCTGGCGCCGGGCAGAATGCGAAGAGCTTCACCTGGGGCACCCAGCGCAGCTGACAGGCGGGCCCTCCTGCCCGGCAGCAGAGCTCTTACCAAAGCAGCAAGTGCCTCCCCGCTGGACCCTCCGCTCATCCCGCCAGGGCAGCACCGGAGTTATGCGGGCTGGTCAGAGCTGAGAAAGCGAGCCGCGGGTGCACGCCCGCCTGCCAACCGAAAGAGCCGGGCCAACCTGAGCTTGGCTTCCTTCCCAAGTCCCTCCAGCCCGAACCCGAAGGGGCCACCACGAGAGGCTGCCCGAGGCAATGATAGCGCCCACCTGTCCGCGAACAGGGAGGCAAGGCGACGGCAGCGCTGCTTCACTGCCGGGCGAGTCCGGCGGAGAGAGCCTGAAGCCGCCTGTTCTTTCCACCCCTCGCCCAGCCCATCCCCACGCATCTCCAAACGCGCCGGTAGCTCCAAACGCTGCAGCGACATGGGCATCGGGCAGAGGCGCTTACTCATCGGGGCTCAGCTTGGAGGAGGATGCGGCGCAGGCCGTTGCCTTGCCTCCCTGTCCACAGATGGGTGGGCACTATCACTGCCTCGGGCGGCCTCTCCCAGTGGCCCCTTCGGGTTCGGGCTGGAGGGACTTGGGAAGGAAGCCAAGCTCAGGTCGGCCCGGCTCTTTCGGTTGGCAGGCGGGCGCGCACCTGCGGCTCGCTTTCTCGGGTCTGCCTAGCCCGCACGGCTCCAGCGCTGCCCTGGCGGGATGAGCAGAGGGTCCGGTGGGAAGGCGCTCACTGCCTTGGTGAGAGCTCTGCTGCCGGGCAGGAGGGCTCGCCTGTCAGCTGTGCTGGGTGCCCCAGGCGAAGCTCTTTGCGCTCTGCCCGGCGCCAGGCAGGGATGGTGGCTGGGCGCTTCTCCTGGGGTGGGCCGATCCTGCGCTGCGGCCCCGGGAGATTCGCCTCCCTACGTGGGGTTGGGCTGCCCTCTCGGGCAGGGGAGTCTTTGTCATACTGGTAGTAGGGCGTCTTTTTAAAAGAATTGGCTTTGCCTTCGAAGGCGAAGGGAAGGCGGCGACAGGAGTGCCTGAAGCCGAGTGTCTCTGCCGGGCTCTGGTTGCAGGGAGGAGCTCTGGCTGGCCGCGCATGGCTGTGCCAAATGCCGCAGCATTGCTCTAAACGCCGTGGCAGCACGGGGAGAAGGGAAAGCAACGGTTGTGGAAGGTTTCCCGATACGAAGTGCCCCACCAACGCCCGCCCGTCCGAGGATGCAAGGGGAGGGAATTAAGTCACCCCCAAAAAGTCACCCCCAAAAAGACGGCCTACCCGTTTTTTGGGAGGTCAAAAAAAAATAAGGCCCACCCTTATTTTGTGAGAAACACAGTATATTTATTAGCCATAGATTCAGGAAACCTGTGTGTACACGTCATTTTCATTTGGATAAAATTAAAAATGGAACTCTTTGCTGAAAAAAATTACTTTAAAAAAACAAATAGTTCACTAATCTGAAAATATTGGAAATATGTCTTTTCTATCTATATAGATGCAGATATTTTTAAAAAGTTCCCCTTGAACTTTTTTTTTTTTGCAGTCCTGGAATAGCAAGACCTTTTAGTCTAATCCAGTGAGGCAATTCTTATGATTTATTTTTAATGATGTAATGTTAAAAGTCTGGCACAGTGGCTAGAAGATTAGATAAAGCAAAATCTGGAAAAGCACTGTTTCTAATTAAAGTGTCCCTTTGTGCAGATTAAGCTGGAGACTTCGCTTGAGTTTGCTTTTTAGCATTGAACAAGCTAGTTATGGCAAATTGCATGCTGCTCCTGCTGTATAAAAAAGCTGTTTCAATAGTGCAGGAGCATGGCTTTAGAGGCAGAAATAGCAGCCTAGTGTGATTGAATGTTAGTAGCATTTTTCTTGGGGAAAAAATAAGGTTGAAGAATGCCCTTTTTTTCCAGCACTGATATCCTTAAGACTTGCCCTGCTACACTACGAAAATCTTGCATTCTAGGAGAACTCACTGAAAAGTGCTGCTGTAACTTAATAATTCTTTGCAGCAAAAATGATAAAATTGCATCTTCATATTTTCTAGTAAACATGGACCTTAGATGACTGCCTTGTTTGATGAATTTAGTTAAATTGTCTCCAAAAAAGTCAGAACTAGGGCTAATTACATGTTTTCTCCATGGTTCTATCATATTTCTGTTAACTCACTGAATGGGACCAAGAAAGGAGAATATTTGAGGCTCGGGATTGATATGAGGGGTCCTGGGTGTTCTCTGATCTTGATTGTTTTCTTGCAGACGCTTCATTACCCAAACTAGCTAACATCATCAGTGCTGAACAGAGCTTAGATTCTCACTTGATTCCATCTTTTAAAAGGTCTACTTTTCTTGTTACATTAAATTATATCTGTTAATAATACAAAAGCCCAAATTATATTTGTTCCCTTCTGCTTTATTTCCAGATGTATCTTATGAAATCGTATATTGCTATGTATTCATAAACTAGCTCTGAAGACATAAATCTTTAGCCAACGGCAATTATTGCATTTATTTCTATGGAATATATAAAATCTGTACAGTTAGTGGAAATACCAAATTCCCATATTCTTCTTAATGTTTATTTCCAAAGCTCTTACCATGTGAGTTGTTCAGTAATGTAAGTTAAATTTAAAAAATAGTTTACTCTAGCCTAAAGATAGTTAAAGTAATAGAAGAACTGTGTGTATGTTTTTCTGTATTTATATACTATCCAATTATAAATATTCTTTAGATAATTTAGAAACACGACAACTTTCTCAGGACAAACTAAAAGGAGCAAGGAAGTAGGAAATATCTTGGGAATCCAGTGAGGCTCTCTTATTTGTTTGTCTTTTGATCAGTTATTCACTGTTTAATGACTGCTCATAGCAACTATGGCTACCATTTTGTGAATGAAGCCAAAACGTGCTCTCATAATTCCAGTTATGTTTCCTGATTTAGTCTGCAAAGATTTAAATATTTAGTTGAAGAAGATACACGCTGCTGGAAGACTTAAATGTTGGTAGAAAATCATACAGCCATGATAGGATGATATAATGGTGCAACTTCAGTTGAATCCTGGATCAATCTTGACCACTAGAGAGCAGCAGGCAGCAACAAACAACCAGCCATTGATACATGGATTGTTGAGAGCATTCTATGGTCCAGCACACAATCCTTTCTGTTTACAGAGAGAGAGATAAAGAAGCAGAACATTTATGATGTATAGAAGATGGTCTATTTTAAAAACCCTTAATTTATTTTTTTTAAAGGTGCTTAATTCCAAATACAATATAAAGTTATTAAAGTTGGACTAAAGATACATCCATTGAGTTTCCAAAATGATCTAGCTGCATCACAGAATAATAGATAGCTATTTCCTCCATTCCAGATCACCATTGTTGTGATAAAGCTGGGAAGTCTTGATCTACTTTGAATCTGGCAGTGGCAGAGAACTTGACCATCCCAGAATTCCCCCTGGGATCCTACAAGATTTAAGATACAGAATATCTTTCCTAGTTTTAACAATCGTTTGAGAAACAGGACAATCTTGTAGGATTAGCTTCTTTGTGATTGATGGTTTTGGCCAGTAAATTCTTCCTCGGTACAGATGTATGTTGAGATTAATATAATTTGTTTCCCAAATGAAATAATTCATAATAATTTTCTCTTATTCATTAATAGAAATCTCTGCCTCTACTTGATAGTTAACTTGGCTGTCATCCTGCTGCCTAGATTAATACTTCTCTTCCTCTTACAAAGTCTATTAAAAGATCATTAGAAGGCCTAACAAGTCTAGATACATGATAATATATTTTTTCTTTTTAAAAAGTTGAAAAGTTTGAAATAATTTTTCAAGACTTTCCTGTTCTATCCATCAGAATCCTAAGCATGGCAATCAAATATAGTGCACATTATCCTTCAGACTTACTCTGACCATAAAGCATATAGCAGAGTAAGTCTAGCAAAGGACATGTGAAAGGATGCAGCCTGTGGCTTCTGTTGATTGCTAAAATGTTTTCAATATTAGATGAAGGATATAAATAGTGAATGCAATAAATATTGGATAGACTTTTATTTGAAATTTTTTACAATATAATAGATCTCTGTGTAATACAGCAACTATTCTACTTCTTGGTCAATAAAAACACCAAACTATCTATCTTTGGTCAGATTTTAAAGTCATTTTTCATGGGAGAGTTAAAGTGCTTTTGAGAAAATCGCTAGAATGTCAAAAAGTATTAACCAAATGCCTCTTGTGCATTGCGGCTTTCCTATTTGGATCTTTATATCAAGACTTTGATGCCACGTAAAAATAAATTCACTAAAAAAAATTGAGGTTGAGGGAATGGAACCTTGCTGGAACAGAAATGCCTTTCCATTTCGGTAGAGTCCTGCTGGGTCCAAACCAGTGTAATTCTGAAACATTTGTTTGAGCATTTGGTTTTCTGCTTTTTTTTGTCAATAATACATGGAATCCAATGTTCTAATTTTTCTTTTAGTAATTTATATAGGAAAGCTTGTGTAAAAGCTGGTGACATTTTTGGCATCGTAGGCAGTTCATCCTCCTCATTCTTATACAAATGGATGGTTATAATGTTATTGTAAACTGAATTGATAGCATTGATATAGGTCTTTCAGTTCTTGAACTATGTATAAAAAAATCATAGATTACAATAGGATTGTAGCACTATGCTGAAAAATATTTTCTTTTCAAAAAATGAATACATCTATTTTTCTTTCCTTTTTCTCAGTATTTGCTCTCACAACCAAAGTTCTGGGCAATCCAAACCTCTGCTCTTCTTCTACGAACAAAACTTGAGAAGGGAAGTATTCGTCGAATGGAACGGGCGATGAAGCAGACCCAGGTAACATTTTTCTTGGTTTCTCTTCTCCTTCTCCAAACTGTTAATCTTAGAAACCAATTTATTCAGATTCATCACCAACTTTGCCATTCAGCAGTAATGGAAGTTTCAGTTCAATATAGTTGTAGAACGTTGAATCCGTGGGTGCGATTTTGTTGATTCTTTTTGTGGTTCTACTTCGGAATAGGGAAAATGTTTTAATTACCTTTTGATCAAAACAACTTATTTTTTTCATGAACCCTCTTCAGAAGAGGGACTACCTTTGAAGCTGCAGAGGGCCTGATCTGCAGAGGAAATGGGACCAAAAAACTCATAGTGAATATTGCAAAGTACAAGAGAAGAAATGAACTAGGTTTGGATCCCCACTGAATGTGTTTCCAGTGCTTCAGTGAAGTAAAATTAACCACTGAAAAATCCTTCATTGACAAATACCTGAGCGCCATTTGATTCCTGTTGCTGAATGAAAAACTCTTAATGGGTAATTTTGAGAGGGTGCCAGTAGCTTAACATTTGCAACCTATGCTAGCCAATTTTTCTTTTGAATCAGCTGCAGCAGGCTCTTTCTTGTGGCTTCTTCAAAGGAGAAGTGATGTTGTGGTTAAGCTGACTTATGTTATAATTTATCTTCAATGTATCGTTTAAATGAGTCATTTGAAATGTGTATTTGACTGAGGATATTTAGATTGGAATAAAAAATCATAGCTACACATACTCAGTTTCTTTAACTGTTCTCCATAGGACTTAATTTCTAGACTTCTCATCATCTTAGTAGTTTCCTCGTTCCAGTTAGTCCAGACTATGGTGTTCAGAACTGGACACAGTATTCCAAGTGGGGAATAGGAAGAGAGTATGAGATAATTATTCCCTGTGAATGCTCAGCTTTTGTCCATACATACCAAAATAGCATTTGTCTTTTTAGTAGCTGCATCACAAGGTTGTCTCATGTTCACTTGGTGATGTAGTGGAACAATGTTTCTCACATTGACAACTTTAGGATGTGTGGACTTCAACTCCAAGAATCCTAAGTTGACAAGGTTGAGAAACACTATACTCAAAAACCTAAATCCTTCACGTATATTAATACAATCCCCATCCCACCAAACTCTTAACTCTCTAAATCTCTCCACTCTCTTGATTCTCTTTTTGTCTCCTGTACTTTGGGTTCAGTATTTGGCCCTATACTCATTTTGGACTTTTACCATCATCTCCTATTTTTACCCTGGCTGAGTAAAGATTTAGTGTGATCTTTTCCTACAACAATCTGAAACTGACCATCTTCTCTATTCTATGGTCTCATATTCATTCTGTATGGGCCTTTTTGTTTAAAATTGGCTCTTTTGCTTGTCAGAGCCGATCCAGGACTTCAGTTTAATAATAATCAGTTTAATCTTCACATATATTATTTCATCTTGTTCCCAACCCTGGCTGGTTTTTTTACCATGGATTTGATTTGTCTCTTTTAGTTGCTCTTTTTTTGTGAACTGCCAGTCATTCTTTCCTGCCTTCTTCTGGCCATCTTACACTTTGTATTAATTCACCCACTAACATGATTGTCCATAAGACTATGCCATAATTATCATCAGTTATCATCATACTAGTTTCTCCCTTTCTCTGTAATATGGATATACATCTTAATTAGCAATTGTGCTTACGGTAGCTTCCCTAAAGGTGTAAAGATTTAGTATGTAGTGCATGGGACAATAAGAATCAGGAGAGAGCTATTTTTTTAACCTAATAAACTTGCATGTTGTTTCACGTTCCCATGAAATATTACTCTTCATAATTTGAATATAATTTGAACATAATTTGAATTCTTTATTTTAAGTAGTTATATTTTCTATTTTATCCACATATTGTTAGCCAATAATTAAACCATATCCTTTAACAAAATAGTTCTTGTATCCTCTTTATTATCATGTTCTTGTTCCAATATTTTGGCCTCCAGGAAATTTTTGAAAGTTCAGTTTTGTCTTTTTCTTGACAGCCTTGATTAGAAGACCTCTGGGGTTAAGAACTTAGGCTAAATGATTCCTTCAGACATCAGGAATCTGTTGCTTTTAAGATGCGAACAGGGTTGACATCGGCAGACATGATACCAAATAAAGTATCATATGCAGCTTATTCTGTGATGAATACTGAGGAGCGTAGGATTTCCTGAACTGGAAAATTAATCAACATTCTCTTTGCTCCTTCAAGATTGTCCATAAAAGTCTTGATGACTTTCTAGCCATGACTAATATGGCTATTCACTTGTATAGTTTGATTCCATTCATATGCCTTAGGCGGTGCTTTTTCATCCTGTGCACATGGCAGAGGATTCCAATATACTTTTAATTCCACAGCTATAGTATTTTTAAACTAGGCATGCTTCTTAATCACACTGTTGACTAAGAGATCTCCTGTGCCTGATCCTTCAATATGTCCTAGGCCATGTTAAGACCAACATGGAAGGGAAAAGCTACAGCTGATTGCAGTTCTTATATAGCTTTTACTAGGAGAAATTAGTTGAAGAAATACAAAGGGAAAATAATTTCTGAATATGATTTTCAATAAAAAGTCTAGTAAAGTTTTCAAAACAACAGCTAGAGTTGGGAATAGGAAGGCAATATTCCCTTAAGCCCTACAATATTCTGAATTTTTGGAGTCTCTCCATGAAGTACAGATGTTTAGTGATTAGAAGTTAAATTTACTGTAGTTTTGCTCAGAATAGAATTGATTTATTGTATTGACAGGCATAAGAAAAAATGTATATCCTCTTCCATGCCTTTTAAGCATACAATTGTTCAATATCAGCCAGTCGTTCCAGCATGGTTTTTTTTTTTTTTTTTGGTCATTGCAACTTCACTATTTAATATTCCATATTGCCAATTTGTACCCTAGGTAGTATCTGCATTGCATTCAAATTAGAGAACTTTACACAGTATGGGATATGAAGTTCCATTTTCCAGGCACGCATGTAACCATACTTTGAATTCATTCGGATTTGTTAGGAACTTGCAGTCTAGTCAGGTAGTGTTGTTCTCAGATTGCTAATATTTGTGCTAAGGTTGTTGTTCCCAGATACCCTTGAAAGGATTTCATCTGCATTTGCAGATGAATGGACCAATCTGGTCCATTTCAATTACATATATCAGACTGGCTTTTAATCTCCTTTTGCTTATATGTATTGTAATTTATTATTTTGGGTAAAGCAGAATATAGTTGCCCCTTTTGGAAAAACAGGGGTGTTTTGTTTTGTAATAGCTCATCTTCTGCTACAGAGTTAGTTTTAGAAAGCTGTTTCTTGTTATCAGGAGCAAACTTTTATACAAGGAGCTGGATAATTAAGCTGTCTGAATCCAAGGAGATTTATTGAGTGCTTAAATTATAGGGCAATATTCAAACTGGCTGCCAAGTAAAACTGTTAGAGAGCTGGTAATTGGATATACCATTTTAATGATAGTTTCTTGCTTTACAACCTAAAAGCAGAATTGTCTCCTTTGCTTAATATGTGTCTTTGCATAATAGTTGCACCTGAAGGGAACTTGGGGAGTGAGCAGTTATCAAGCTTGAGCAAAAGACATATTTCAGGTTTGTTTAATTTCAGTATAGTAATATGTTTAAATATATATATATATGGAAGAAGAATGGCCCCAAAGCAGGACCACAACATTGTAAGTGAATAACTGTGAGAGGTGGCGACATGAGCAGACATGTCTAAAATTCTATTAGACATGCTTATGTCTAATAGAATTTTCTAAATTAATAAGTGTAGACTTCCCGAAGTTCATTAAAAAAAAGTCTTCCTCACTTTATTGTAAAAGAGCTTGAGAAAAACCAGAAACTTGCTGTCTTAATATGCCTATATACAGTTTTCTAATTGGAAAATACAGTACTTGATGGAATTTTTCTATTGTTACCTAAAATATCTTCTTAATGTTAATAATGTTAACATGTTAATAATTAGAGTTCTGAGAAACTTGTCCTTAGGGACTAGCCATTTTTAATCCAAGTTGCTACAAGCAATGATTAAGAATAATTGTTGGGCTGTTCTGTCACAGTCTTTCTTCGCAAATAGAAATGTAGTCACAATCTCTGAATTACTGAGCCCAGGGAGATAAACTCTGATTTTAGCTTCTTCTCATATTTGTATTGGATGGAAATTATCTGTTGACATAATCTTTGGATGTTTTTAGTACTAAGTAGCACACTGGTTTTTACATTCCCTTCTTTCACCTTCAGCAAGAGATTCCTCACTTCCCACTGGGAGAATGGTATTATCAACATATCTGAAGTTATGGATGATCCTCACAGCAATTTTATTTCCTATTTCTTTTTTTTTTCTAGTTCAGAATTTTTCATGATGTATTCAGCGTGTAAGTTAAATAAGTGACATTATACAATCTTGTGGATTTGGTGGATTTCTTTTCCTGTTGCTAAGCAGTTTAGTTGCTACATCTTCTGTTCTCTGCTGCTTCCTGGTCATCAGGCATATACTCCAATAGGTAGATAAATTGATCTGCTATAGCCATATTTTAAGTGTTATCTGTTGTGATCACAACAGTCATAAGCTTTAGCATAATCAATAAACCAAAAGTAGATGTTTCTTTTGAATCCTTTTGCATTTTCTATCATACACTGAATGTTAGCACCATTCTCTTGGGTGTGCTTGCCTCTTCTAAATCCATCTTCTTTGTCTGGCAATTCTTTTTATTGAAATCTGAAGTACACAATGTAGAGCATTATCTTTTTTAGCATGAGGGATAAATGCAAGTATTTGATACTTTGGGCATTCTTTTGTACTGCTCATTTTTGGTATTGGAGTAGTAATTGACTTTTTCCAATCCCTTGACTATTTCTCTGTTTTTATAGTTGCTTACATGCTCCATGTATTATTTTATTTGTGTAATTTATTAAGTGTTAAAAAGTTCTGTTAGCATTTCATCAATTCCTTCTGCTTTGTTTTTAGCAATAATTTCTAGGGGTGATTTAGCTTTAATTCTTGCATATACTTGTATCATCCCTTCTTTATATCTTCTTTATATCTTTCTCCAATTAATCTTTGCCTTCTTTATCTTTTAGTTTTACCCATATTTGCATTTAGTTGAGCAAAATTTCTTCTGTTTCAATGCCCAGGTTGGGGAACATTGTTAAAAATTACTTCAGGGAACTTAAGAGAATGTTAGGTTTGTTATTTCACAAATACTAGCATTCTATGAGTCAGGAGGATAATTTAAATTTAAATTGTTATCAGTTTAACAGAGATTTAACAGTTAAAACTTACTAAATGATACATTTTAATGATCATCTTGCTAATTTTCAACAAGGTTCCCCAATCAATTTTATTAGAAATAAAACATCTCAATTGTTTCTGCCTGTTTTTCTCTAGCTTTTTTTAGGGTGTGCAAATAAGAAACGGACCTTTTTTACAGGGAGACTCATCAATTGATAAAACTTTGTATTTAATCTAAGATGTCTGTCATATCCATGTGGAATTTTAAAGTACTTAGATGTAATTTCCTCTGATGCTAGGTTTATTAATCCAGTTTTCTACTTAATGTCCACTAGATTTATTGGACTACAATTCCCATAACCTCCAGCAATTGCATCTGGTAGTGTCAGGTTGGGAATGGCTGTAATAATTGATATATTATACACTAAAACAGACACAAAAGAATTATTTTCAGATGAGAAACTTAAGATGAGAAATGCTTTCATTAAAACAATTTGTCAGATGGCCTTACAGTACTGCTCTTCAGCAGAAATGGACACTAATATCCGTAGGATAAAAGACAGCCTGTTAATATGCACCACTATTATTTATTACTTGATTGATTTATATATATTAACAACTAGAAATTATTCTTGAACTATACATTCTAAACTAGACTGCCATCCCCTTGAAGATGCCTTCAATAAATGTTGAGTTTCCATCATCCTAAAATGGGGCATTCGGAATTACAGTTGAATATATCAAGAAAGGATTTGGAGTAACATTGGCTGAAAAATAAAGTGAAATGTGAAAATTAAATTAGAAGGACATAGGGTTAGCTAATGTCTTGTCAGAATTTTATATCATGGCTCCATAGCTATTTTGTGTTTCCTATGCTGCCTACAACAAGTAGATATTGAAATCCAAAAATCTAAGGGATACAAGGAGGCTGCCACTGCTGAATGAAATTAAAATTAAACATATTTAATTTTTCCTTTATAAAGAATGAATCCTTCTGAATATAATTTTATTCAGTGACTGATACCTTTAAGTATGAAGACAAATCTTTATCATGGTCAAACAGCATAAGGAGGGTAGGATACAGTTAACTAAAAAACATAAAAAAATAAAAATACATCAGAGTTAAAACATAGCAATTATAAAAAGCTAAAAGATATTAAACAGAAGTATTTATAAACAAACAAAGTCTTAAGGGAAGGTAGGAGCATTAGATAGATGTAGGGGAACGTAAAGGCTAGTATGAGGCCGACAATCTATCGAATATAGAGCACTATGGAATTATGAACTAGATGTTCATTAAGAGTAATATGACACAAGTCATCTTCTGATAGTCACTCAAGGTTGACTCAGCCTTCCATCTTTCCAAGGTTGGTAAAATGAGAAGCCAGATTGTTGGGGACAATATGCTGACTCTGGAAACCATTTAGAGAGGGCTGTAAAACACTGTGAAGCGGTATATCAATCTAAGTGCTATTGCTATTGCGATTTCCTGCTATAGTTGTTAAGTTAGTAACACCGTTGTTAAGAGAATCTAGCTTCCCCATCGACTTTGTGTTGTGGTTAGCCAGCAGCAGGTGCGGACATCTGAGGAGAGCGAGGACTCAGATGAGGGGCCAGGACCATTAGGGAGTGGACTGCTGCCTTCAGAGATTGTGGGGGCTGGCAGCAGCGATGAGGAGGTTCCCGAGGAGCCTGTGCCAAGTGCGCATGCACGCAGGATTGCTCACAGGAAAGAGCAGCTGCAGCTGCAACAGCATGGGTGACTCGGGAGTAAGGCTGCAAGGTAATGGCCCCTCCTTCAAGAAGATAAAAGCCAGCTGTGAAGCGAACATTCTTTGCAGGAAGTAAAGACGTTTTGAAATTCAGCCTCGTGGACATTACAGTATCTGAACTTGGTATTTGAAGACTCTTGTGTTGTGAAATATTTCTTATCTGTGATTCTTGGCAGTCTCGCACAGTTTTGACAAGGTTTGTGCTTATGAAAGTTAATTAGTTTGCAGCAGCCTTTTAACCAGGGATTCGTAAGACTCATTAAAAGGTTTCTGTTTTCTTTGGTTATTGTTTGTTTTATTGGAAAAGCGTTTGGGTCAGAACACTTTGCTTGTCAGATGGTTACGATCACATGACCCTGAGACATTGCAACTGTCATAAATATGAGTCAGTTCCCAATTTTGATCACATGACCACAGGGTTTCTGAAATAGTCATAAATGTGAAAAACAATCATAAGTCATTTTTCCCAGTGCCATTGTAACTTTTAATAGTCACTATAATAACTGTTTTTTAAGTCAAGGACTATATGTACATGTGCTACCTAGCTTTCTGCTTATGAAGTGGTCTGTTATTTGATAGGCCTTTTGAGTTTTTGACATTTACAGTGGCATTTTATTTATTTATTTATGAGATTTTTATTCCATCTTTATTATTTGTAAATAACTCAAGCCAGCAAACATGCATAAACCTCCTTCCTCCTACTTTCCCCACAACAACTCTATGTGGTGGATTGGACTGAGACAGATAGTGACTGGCCCAGAGTCATCCAGCTGCCTTTCATGCCTAAGGTAGGTCTAGAACTCACAATCTCCTGGTTTCTAAGCCAGCACCTTAACCTCTACACCAAACCAGCCCTCCAGTTTGTACTTATATTTATTGCTCTTATACTGGTTTGATATATTTAGACTTTCTATATTAGTTGCTTTAAGCAGATAATGCTAGTTTGTTCACTTATTGTGTTAGTCAGATCTTATTAAGATTGTATATTGCATTACATATTTAAATGTTTTGGATTTTCAGGCACTTGCAGACCAATTTGAAGAGAAGACAACATCAGTTTGTGAACGTATGAAGATATTTTACAATTGCCAGGTTCCTCCACACTGGGCCATACAGGTATAAAATAACTGATTTGTAGATGTCATTTTTATGAAGCATGAAGCATGCTGAAATGGGAAAATTTTCTCCTGTTGTATTTTTATATGAAGTACTATAGCAAATCTATTTACCTGGCTTATTATATAAAGAATGGTAGGCTTCTGTAATAATACGATACATTCCAGCTGGCAGTGTTTTTGAACTGTGCATTAACAACATTACCAAATGTCGCCACACCAATTATAATTGTAATTGGTCAAAATCTTGGTCAGTTGTCAAGAGATTGGCCTAGAGAGTTCCTTGAAATTTGACCTTAATTTTTCCAACACATTTGTCTGTCTTTGACGCAGGAGAAACTCTTTTTACATTCTTTTTGTTTTAAAATCCTTCGGAAATCTTTCCAGTTCACAAAATCCAGTGTGGTTTTCACTTTGACTTTTTTCCTCCAAGCCAAACCAATTTTGTGAGCTCTGTTGGTGATCTATTATTGACAATAGCTGAAGTGCACCATTGCATAAGTAGCACAGTCCTTGCATATATTTCTCTTATATTTATCCTCAAAACTGTTACATATAAATCATAGATATGAATTGCTGCTGTGAAGTACCCTATCTTCTCATGCTGACCTTGATAAGCAGGCTCTTTTCTGTCCCTTCTTGTAGCCTCCCAGAAGCCCAAAGTGGAAAAAACAAAACAAAAAACCCAGGAAAGGACTAGCAAAAATCTTGTCAACAGCATCCATTAGGACTTTTGGCTGTGATCCAATTATCTTACTCATCTTTGTGTTTCTTTTGTCTCCAGAAATCCTGCTTGTCAGTCTGCCTGTTTCCTACTTGTCAGCCCATAGTTTTTCCTTGATCTTGGGTAAATCCTAGATCAACTATATTGTTTCTAGATGTCATTCATGTACTAAAAGAGAGCAGCTGGAAGTAAAAATGGTCAGCTTGCTAAAATACATTTATATAATTTATATTTGTCTCTTCTTCATCTAGAATCTGTTCGTCTGCAAGTCTTTACCCAGATGGGTGAAGCTAAAAGCTTTGGAAACTGTTTAGATAATTATTCAGTCACAAATTCACTTTAATTCTCTAAATCCCAACCCCACCCTCAAAAGTGCACTAGCCTGTTTTAGAATTTAGTGCTGGATGGGCAGCTCAGAGTTAGCATGGTCCTCAAACAGATGGAGATTTGCACTCTGGCAATAGAGGCTAGAATATATTGTTGCTATAAATAAACTACAGTTAGAGTTGTCAGTGATTTTGGGGGGCATTTACCTTGAAATGTGGCCCCTTTCTATTTGGAAGACAATTCATTTGTTGTTGTTTTATGGGCCTGGATAAAACGTTAATTCCCCCTCAAACGTTTAGTACATCTTAAAATCTCTGAGCTATGTCCAGTTGAGCTATCTATTTTTGGTAAAGATTTTTTCTCAACTGTTTCCGGAACAGACTTTGTGTCTCTGTGCATGCACACACACAGTGTGTGTTGGGCCAGGGGTGAAGGTTGCAATGAAGTCATAGCATATGGCAGCTCCTAATCAAATTTGGCTGATTTCAAAAAAACCTAATCACACTTGAATCTGGGTAATATGTCATGAGAGACTGAGATGAATCCTTCACGCTTGAAGCTAGGATGGGAAGTTGAAAAAACATCCTACAAGAAGATAGTGTCCAATCGTTGCTGTACCATTTCCAAACAACAACGTCCATTTAGTCACCAATTGAGGAAAAGGGCTAGCAAAGCCAGGGCAAGTCAGGTTAAATGTTATACCCTGTACTGTATAAAGTCCCCAAAAGGTCACCAAAAAGAAGAAATGTTCATTTTAAAACTAAAGTATTTATTAAGCAAGTAAAATTAAACAGTTTAATTTCATTGTAAGCAGTCATCTCCCAGGAGAAAATGTGAGAAGGAGAGAGATTAAAGGCTTGGTGTGTGGGTGTGTTTGTGTGTGGGTATGTAATTCTTCAAGATAATCTGAGCTTGGAGAGAGAGAGAGAAATGGAATAAAACATTGCAGGATAATGTAGAAAAAGAAGAAAAGGGAACCATTGCCACGAGAGCCCAATTTTATGGGCTCAACATTTTTGCCAGCTGGCCTGGCAGTTTCAAAGTTGTTTGCTTTCCAAGTATTTATTCTAAAAAACTAATAAGCTAAACATTCATTAAAGACATTTAAAACATTAATTCTTTATTAATTTATTACCAGGGATGGGATTCAAATTTTTTAACAACCGATTCTGTGGGTGTGGCTTAGTTGGAGGGCATCGCTTGGTGGTCATGTGACTGGCTGGGTGTGGCCAACTCAACATCACTCACATCAAGGCACGCATCTCCTCGCCTGGCCTCTCATGACTGTGGGGATGCTGCAACAGTCATAAGTGTGAAAAACGGTCATAAGTCACTTTTTTCAGTACCGTTGTAACTTTGAATGGTCACTCCACACAAGCAAAGTACCAGCAAAGGAGGAAAAGAAAACTCCAGATACGTTCCTGAGACAGGAAGTCTAGTCCTGCCAAGAATGTAATAACGGTTAACGGAGAGGCAGTTTCTGTAAGCAACACCAGAATGTTTCCTTCCTGTGTTCTTTACAGGATTAGGCCAGTAATTTCTTCTAACAACTGGTTCTCCGAACTGCTTAGAATGTTAACAACCGGTTCTAGCGAATAGGTGCGAACCTGTAGAATCCCACCCCTGTTTATTACCCAACATTGTTTCAAACAGCATTTCACTACATATCAGAATTTGTAATTTCTTTCGGCATAATATGCAGATGTCATAAAAAAAAGTTAGATCTGTTTTTTCACAGTAAATAATATAGCCCCAATAGTTGCACAAAATATGAATACTAAGGCAAATATGCTAATTTGAATCATACTAATTTGCATTTTCTAATTCAGCAGTTTCCATATTTCTTGAAGGATTCCAAATTTTGTTATTGTGTTCTGTCTGGTTTTTTGGAGGAGAAAAAAAAAAGATACAAGTCTTAAGAATGAATAAACCTTAGAGGTGCAAGAACAGGCTCAGAAAGTGGAATCAAAGCCCCATAGAGAAAGTTGTAAGAGAGAAAAGAAACACAAGGTCCCTTTTAAGAGAAAGGGACCTTTAAAGCCAATGTGAGTGTGCACTTTTTTGTTCCCTACGGGTCAATGGAGGACGATTCTCAGTCCTATGGGTCCTAAATAATCCATCGTTCAACAAAAGACAGGTAGTCAAATCCTTTGGAGAGGTAGATCTTGACATTTCAGGTTTCTCGTGGACACTGAATCAGTAATGTAATGAGATTATGGTGAAAGATGAAAGTTGATTACATTGGAATGGAAAGATTTGGCATTTAAGAAGCATTTAAGACTCTAGGGAGATTCTTAAGATGCTTCAATACTAATCTGTTTCAAATAACTAGAGGTTGCTGTGGGAAAACTTGGCAACAGTTTTCCCACAGAGATGAATTCAAGTGTACAGTGTACAGCAGCTAGATCAATTTCAGCTATATTCGGTTGTGGATTGAGGTGTCCAAGTCTGTCAAGCTCCGGAGCAGCTCTGAAGCTAGCATGCACATAGTCATAACTAGTGAAATCTGTCTCTTGACTGTAGGAAGCCGATGTCATTTTCTTTTCTTTATTTGTTTGTTAAATTTATTCATTGCATATCTCACCACGGGGCTATTCTAGGTACTCTCACCATGGGGCTACTCTAGGTGTTTTACAGCAATGAAAAGGAAGACATGAAAAGAGCCTAAACAAAACAGAAGTAAAATAATAGAACAATAAAACAAGCTATGGAAAAGAAAACAACAAGAAAACAGCAACAGGATAAGAAAGAGATGGAAGGGTGGAGAGCAGAGAGCAAGTAGGAGAGGGGAGCCTGCCATCAATCCAGCAGCCACCTTCTGCATGGAATTCCCCATTGGGTCCCCATTTGAGTGACATTGCTGAGAGGTGGGCTTATTAGGACAGCTCAAATGGTAGATATTTTTCATTCTCATCATGCCTCAGTGTCTTGCTTTCCAGCAATCAGCAATTGGATAAATCAGTCTACTCAAAATATATTGGGTCTATCAACTCAGTACATCTGAAGCATATCTGCTAGGAGAAGACAGATGTAAATCTTTATTGCTGTAGATATTATGTTTCTTTAGGAGCATATTTTGTAACTGTTAAATGCACCATGAGCCTATGACCTATCTGCTCCTTTGCTTTATTTCCCTGTCTCTTAATCAGATTTCCTTTGCTTTTAAAGGCTAGATATTGAAGTGGAGTAACTACTACATAAACTTGGAATTAATTCCCTCTAATGTGTCATCCAGGATTTCATTTCAATTGTTTCATTAACTGATAGCTGGTTTCCATACATGAACTGGCCAGACTTTCTTCCCTCTGTCCCTAGTTAGCCTTCTTAATTGTCTCTGAGTAAAGGATTGTATCACAGAATGTCAGTGTGACCCAGACTCTAGACAGATAAAGTCAATATTGGCCAGTATCAATGGGCCTTATTGTTGGTTATTTGTGTGCATATCCTGGTTTCTTCTTTCTGTTCCAGTATGTGGAAATGGAGAAAGAGCCATTACTTCCATGTTTAGGGTAATTTTGAGTAAGTAAAGTTTTTAAAATCCATAGCCAATCTCTACTAATTTTAATTTTGAGAAATTACAAGTGCAAACTTAATAGACTTTTCTAGATTTCAAAGAAAGAAA